TCCGAAATCTCGGTGGCGATGAAGATGGAATCCATGGTGGGCCTAGCAGACATGAAAAACTGCTGCGGTGAGATCGGTACGGGTAGAAAGAGCCGATTCTTTCATCGACCACGGTAGTCAGAAGGAAAGAGAATATAATACAACAAATCGTCAGCGCCATGAGGCCCCCTATTTTATTTGGGTTCAGGAGAGTGTGGAACGCGTGAACGGCTCTCTTCTTTTGCTGGGAACAGGATTGCCTTTTGACCACGTTCAGCTCTACTCACAAATTAATAGCTCAAATCCAGCAAGAACGCGGAACTTTCTTCTTACCGCCGACATAATTGTGTGGTTTCCCATGCATAAATTCGAGCGCTCTCCAAGATCTTCTAGTAGGACATCCCTAAACGTGCAGTGGAAATAGCCATGGTTAATTTTCAGTGATTTTGTGGATTACTTCCGCAGCCATAGAACTAACATAACGGCTTACCGGCTGAGCGGCAGTGTAGCCGAGAAGGTCGTTGAGACTGTTTGAATTCAAGTCACCTGCAACATCGCTTTCACTCATTGGGGAACTCTGTTGACCAACCCAGCGTCGTATAACACGAGTTCTCTGCAATGAAGCAAAAACACTTAAAATCTATCTGAAATGTGTTTTGTTACTTTCAGAAGCATGTTATGAGCTTGGACGTAGTAAGAACAATCGGGCGGAACACTATATTACCCCTTGGGATATGGAGCGAAATCCGAAGGTGTGTGGGGCCAAACCGTAACTTCTCAACCTTTGGCAGTACTCGCACAACCGGAACAGCCTAGGGACTGGTCGAGCGATCTACCACTTATCGAGAAAAAATGGATAGTAAGCGAACACAAAGAGGAACATCCCTAAAAGAGGTGTACCCAAGTGGTTGTGAGTCATCCAGGCCCCTTCAGCTGTAAAAACGCAGGTATTCAGCGCAGTCTGTCTTGATGGGGGCAACATGAAGTGGTCTCAGCGAAGTTACAGGTCAGTTTGTGAAGACCTGTTAATTCCTGTAGCTAACGTAGCTCACTTGTACTGCTTCACAGAAGTTCACAAAAGTGAAACCTGTTAGCTGACATGAACTAGCAAAAAGAACAAGCAAAATTGCAGGATACCTCCCCCCCACCCACCCCATCCCCAGCACCACTGATTCCGGTGTGGTTTGTTACTCACACAAAGAAGAGAATTGAATCATACATTTTCCAACAGCCATCCTCTCAAAGCGCCATCATTCACTGGTCCAGGCCGAGCACCACCTAACAGCTCGTTGCTCCATAAAACGGAATGGCCCGGAGTTGGCAGACGTTCGTCGAGTGTTGAATCCCAGTAGGGAATGGCCACGCTCGCATCGTACGAGCGAAGCCCCAATTCGAATCTGAAATTAGCTCAGAGTAGAGCTTGAACGATTGCATTCAAAGACACTTTGCAACGGCTAGCTCGGAAGGCAAACTTCGCGACTGCCTACTGTGGTAGCAACGTTCAATTACGAACCTACTGCCACTAAATGACGTCCCAAGGAAAAATCAGATAAAAAATTCTGTGAGAACACCCTAGCAAGCGAGATGAGTGTACGTGCTCAAGGCGAAGAGAAGGCGCGGCCGCACGAGTTCTCACTTGTTGATATCAGCTGTTTTCCCTTATCACCTCACTCTCACCATTCGATGTGGAGAGAGTTAGTGACGGAACAACCGCATCATAAGGCAACCATCCTACTAATATAATCGGCTATGTCCGTGTGTGTGTGTGTCTGTCTGTCTGTCTGTCTGTCTGTCACGAAATTCATAGCACCTGAAGAAGAACTTGGAGAGGTCGGGTCATGGTGGGGATGGGTAGAGCATGGGACAAAACCTAAATAGCACCCATGACCCATGGTAAGCCCCGCCCACAGTGGGCGGGCGTGCGTCAAAATTTAGCGATGTCACTGAAAAAAGTCACAACTCGGTTTCAGAGCAGTACCGAGATGAGGAAACAGTGCAGTAAGGGTAACAAAGGCCTGACTGACCAAACAGAGGAGACACACCCGAAATGGGCAGGGCGTACTTGAGATGGCGGCTGCTTCCCACGCAAAGGTCGGTAACTCCCTCCCAGAAAATGTTTAGGAAGCGCAGATAAGTCCATGACGAAGAAGAATATCTTGCAAGAGACCACCATGTTTAAGGCGTGCTGAGCCCGCCCACAGTGGGCGGGGCGTGCATTTGAGCACGAGGAACAGTATAAAAAGTCGTAGTTTGGTCCTAAATCACTGCAGATGGTGCCAAAAAGTGGATTATGGTCCCAAGTGATCAAATGTAAGAATGTGCGAGGCACTCCCGCTGTGGGCGGAGCCTGCACCGAGGTGGGCGGAGCCAAATTCGGAAAGAATTCGCAAAATGGTTCCAAGTACTCCAGACACCGGGGAAAAAGTAGTTTCAATTCAGAGAGGGTTATCAGTTGAGAAGCGCGAGGCATACGTTGTGGGCGGGGCGTGCCCCGAGGTGGGTGGAGCCAAATTTAAAAAATTCGCAAAACGCTTCCAGAGCACTCCAGACACCGGGAAAAAGTAGTTTGAAGTCAGCGAGGATCAGTTGAGAAGCGCGAGGCATACGTTGTGGACGGAGCGTGCGTTGAGGAGAGCGGGGCCAGTGTTAGAAATTCCTCAAGCGGTTCCAGAGCACTCCAGGCACTCCAGACCTCCTCTGTGATACAGCCCGGCCTTGCGGGGCGTGGCTCCGTCGCGCCTACTGCATTCGTAGGTCAAATGCTGGACAAATACCCGGCTTTCCTCTCATCTGTCCACTTGATCAACTTTCCACCATTTCATGCACCGTAATAGTGTTGAAAATAGCAGGTATGGTGCTATTGGTGAAATAATGTTGATCATCCGTTCAGATGAAAGAAAAGCCGAATACTAGGCGGGTATTGAAATGTGTGGAAAAAGATAAGCGCGGTGGAGCCGCGCCCGCCCGGCGAAGCCGTGCTGTATCTCAGAAAAAGGCGCGCCGGCGTCAGCCGGCGAAGCCGGCTGGTTAGAAATGAAGTTGGGCGTAGTGGTCGCCAGGTGGGCGGGGTGGCCGACTCTTCACGAGCGGGCGCCGCTATTCTCTCGCATTTTTGAGTTGCGAAACTAGTACGTCCACCATCCTCATAGGGTGAGCTACGATATCCAAAGAGGGCGTGGAAACAACAAATGAACGCGGGCGCTGCCTTTGAAGTGGCGAAAAAGAATGACTTCAGGAACTACAAACCAGACTACTTGAGCAGGGAAATTACGACTGGATAGCAGGGGGGGGAGGGCTAAATAGGCATAGTTGCCGATCTACTTTGAAGTTTTCCCGAAGATTTATTTCTCTGCTGTAAGCCATATTGGTGTGTTTAAGCACGAACTTGTACATGTCAACCATAAGTAAAAACGTAAGGCTTCAGTTCACTCTGGGTAATGCCCTCTTCCCAACTGTAGATTTTCAGTGTTGGACGAGGAGCGATAGGAGAAGAGGGAGATGACTGTGTAGCCGCTGCTGATAGCTAGCATTCCTACTTCTAATGATGATGACCTTCGTCGCGTTCATTCTGTGAAAGTATTGGGTAGTCCCTCGGAGGTTCGTCCCTCCTGCATCATGAAGTGTGAACAGGTGAATTCTCGGCAACCATTTTATTTCTGGTCAGTGATGTTATCACACCCCGCTGGCACTATTGAACTATTCCTACCCCAAAAACTCGAAAACATTCTTTTCGCTGGAACTCTGCCTATAAAAGTTATTCGATGTCCTGATCACGAATATGACATTTCTATTTCTGGCGCTGGCGCCATTTGGCGCCAATAGGCGCCAACATGACGCCACCACTTTTCTCACCGAATTTGATGAAAACTTCTATACGGGGTTGATTGACATCCTGATCACGAACATGGCATTTACTTTTGAAGCTGAAGCCATCTGGCGCCACATCCCTTTTCCTCAAAATCGGTATAAACTTGCGTAATGGGGCTGTTTGATGCCCTGATCACGAATATGGCATTTATTTCTCGACACCAGCGCCATTTAGTGTTCTGTTAAGGGTGAACCTCGGAGAAGGTGGATGACCACAGTGCCCTACATTAGCGCTGACGCCAAGTATAGATGTCATATTCGTAATCAGGATGTCAAACAACCCCTGTATACAAGTTTTTATAGA